GAGAATTCAGTCGACGAGAGTGTTATTTCCATCAATATCTCTATGATGAAGTTAAACAAAAATGGAGAAAGTGGGCAGCCTTGACGGACACCACTTGAGGTTGCAAAAGTAGATGACAGTTCGCCATAAGTAGTAGTATTCGAGTGTTCGAGTAAACAGCCTTCACAAGGTTTATGTACTTCTGAGGTACGCTTTTCAATGACAGGCACTGCCACAGAGTCTCACGGTCTACAGAGTCAAATGCTGCTTTTAAGTCAAGAAAGACCACCATTGTTGGACGCCGATAGGTATGCCTGTGTTCTAGAACCTGACGAATGGTGAATATGTGGTCGATGCAGCCACGACCAGGTCTAAAGCCAGCTTGGTTCTCTCGTGTTTGTAGTTCACGAGTCTTAGTTAGACGTTTGATAATTATCGAGGCCAGTATTTTAGATACAATGTTTGTTAAACTAATCCCTCTGTGGTTGTCACAGGATGATTTTGACCCTTTCTTATATAATGGGACGATAAGTGATTGCGACCAGTCAGATGGGATAAAGTCTAATTACCAGATCTTAGCTAAAATCTTAGTCAACCTAATCGCTAAAATTGGACCACCATCCTTGAAGACTTCTGACGCCAATCCATCTGGACCAGCTGCCCTTCCTCGTTTCAGATTAACTATAGCCTTTTGAACTTCGGCAAGAGTTGGGAGACCTACTTCAATGTTCCATTCACACTGTCTGGGAATGGAGGGTAGTTGTAGAGTAGCTGAAGGCCAGCTGAACTGTTCTCTAAAATGTTCCGCCCATCGTTCTAAACGTCTGGACTGGGAGCAGATGAGAGTATCGTCTTCTTCCGAAATAATCTCACTTACACTTGACTTATTAATTCCAGTTTCTTTTATTAGTCTGTAAAGCTGTCTTGTGTTCCCTATAGTCGCCGCCTTTTCCATCTCTTTTGCTTTCGTTACCCACCACTGCTCACGGTCGTTCCTTAGACTTTTTCTTAACCTAGATCTGATTTGTTTACGCTCTTCATCATGTTCAGAACCTGATGGGACGAGTTTGCGAGAATCCATCAGTGTGACAGACCTTGAAGAAATCCACTGGTTCCTTGCAACTCTGTGGTTTAAGTCACTAATAGATGTCACTGCTGTTTCCACAGCTGATTGTATGCCCTTCCAAGCAACATCCGGGTCAGCCTCGTCTTCACAACTACCTAAGTGTGACCTCAGTTGTTCCTGGAACCTACTTTTGGTTTTCTCGTTACTCAAATCAGTTCTAACGGGTCTTTTTAATGTGGCTTTTTTGCGTCCAGTGAGGCGCAAGCAGATGCGTGCCCGTATTAGGGCGTGGTCGGAGTCCAAGCAGGTACTCCAGAATGAGCGACAATCTTCTACCGACCCTCTCCAACGATGACTGATGGCAATATGGTTTATTTGAGTCCATCGCTGGTTTGGTGCAGGCGGTCGCCACGTTAGACGATGTCTCTCCTTATGCTTAAAATTTGTGTTTGCTAAAAATAAGCGATTGTCTGAGCACAGTTGCAGCAGACGGTCACCATTATCTGTTCGCTGTGCCGGAATGCTAAAATATCCACCTAAATGCCTTTCTGTTTGGTTTAAGCTACCTATCTGAGCATTAAAGTCACCCCCTACGAGTACTATGTCTGAGCGTTTAGCTTTCTGACGAAGTTCGGACAGCTTTCTGTAAAATTCATCTTTCACATCATCTGAGCTGCATTCAGTGGGAGCGTAGGCAGAAACGACGAAAAGGCAACGACGTGTGTCCCTATCCCTCCGAGTTTTTACGGAGCCGTTTAGCCGAACGGCACATAAGCGACTGTTGACGGGGATCCACTCTAGCAGTGCTTGTTCCGCCCTCATGTTTAGTGCTATGCCTACACCTGCCAGTCCACGAGAACTGGCCATCGGGTCACCAGATACACGTAGGGTGTATCTCGTTGGCTCTCCGTTTTGCCGAGGTGAGGTCAAGTGAATGACCACACTGGAATCCTGTATGCGTGTTTCGGAGACACAGCATACATCAATGGAAAGAGACTCTAGGGTTTTAGCCAAGGAAGCCTGCTGACCGATTTGACATAGAGTGCGTACGTTGAAAGCTCCAATGTGTAGTTTGGAGCGAGGTTTCAGTAGACCTGGGACAGAGTTTTGAGCACTAGAATCGTTGGCTATGGTGACACTTGAGGAGGAAGCCGAAGGAGGAAGTTTAGGGTTGAAAGTCGATGTAGGAGGAATAATAGGAATTGAAGAGGAAGGTTGATTATGAATACAGTGGTCTTGGGTGCTGTTAGAGGTATGAGGGCGGTTATCACTTCCCGGTTGCCCACACCGTGGAAGGGTTCTTCTGGAGGTACCTGAAAAGGAAATTGGATTAGAGGCGGTCTCAGTGACCTGAGAGCGTGACCGCAATGCCCAAGGGACAACTGCTTGAGATCGGTCACACACGACCTTGTTATGGGTAATTTTTGTGTTAGCTCTGTACTTATTGAGACCTTGCCGCCGGAGACGGATATCCGTGGGATAAGGCGAGGTGCACATTTTCAGGGTCGACCTTTTCTAACCCCACCCCTCCTTGTGGGAAGGCAGCATCGCCGTCATGCTGGTTGTCTGAAGGAAACACCTTACTGCTGTCACACCTCTGTACAGTCAGCAGTACGACTTCGGACCTTGGGTTTGTTGCTTTTAGTCTTACCGCTCTTCAACCGACCCGTCTGACATGGTAGGACCTTGAGGAACGGTTGTTCCAGTCAGTATAGCTCGGTTGCTTCATCACGATAGGCAAGCCCGACCACCACGTCAAGGTAGCAACAACGGTCGGGTTACTTTGAAAAACGAAAATTTAGGTTTGTTACACGAGCTACTTCTGGAAACGTAAACGTACAACCCAGTATCTAGCTCAGTTCGACGCTCATCGAATGTCCTCGAAGAGCTTAATGATATTTTTTATCAATCACTGTGCCCTGAGATGTTTGCCGCACAATCCTCGGACTGTTTTGATGACGTATGGGTTAGTAACGAAAACCAATGTTTAATTTGGCACCTATTGATTTTCTCAGAAATTAATACATGAGCCTATTGGCAAGCTGAAATCCTTTCAATAATTTAAATCTCTACGACTACAACTATCCCCTTTTATTAAAGAACCAAGTAATTGAACGGACGAATTTAATAACACTAAACCCACAATGCCTGAGACTCTGAAGATCAAAAGTACATCAATTCGCGCTAGTGAAACTGTTTAAAACCATATGATTTAAAGTACCTTACACTCTGGTCATCTCCAGCACCTTTTTGTTTCATTTAATGTTGGCTAGTACATGATGACGAGTAACAATTGAATCTTATTTATGTGGACCAAGCGATATCAAATAAAATTTCTCCTGTATGCCGGTTTATTATGACAGAATTAAAGACTTGGATAGTTCGATCAGTTGGTCGATTTGAAAGAGTATGGGAAAAAATCGTTTTAAGTGTGGTGTTATGAATTTGTAGATAGTATTCTCTGAGCTGGAAGCGTTAATAATGACTGTTTAAGTGAGAAAACTGGTAGTAAGTACAAGTTACAAGAGTATGCGTTAGTCCGTAGGATGACGAGAGTACATTTTAGTGTTGGTGATAGGTACCTGTTGGTAGTTTAATATAAAATTATCTCACACTACACAAACAACTGAACCAATTAAACCTAAAACTATCTCTTTTGTTTCAACTAAACTCATACAGTAAAATGAACTAATTGAGCAATCATTTATTGGAACAAAAATAAGAGTAAATACAAATTCACTACTCACAATTCACCGAAAGATGTAAGGTACAAAGTAAAATCGGAAAGTCAAGACGTACATCAAGAAGTAATTGATGGTACTGATGATGATTTGATCTTATGTCGCACTCGGCGTTTGCGTGATTGCGGCCCAGTAAAACTGTGTATTGTTTTAACAAAAGCGAAAACTCCCATAAACATACAGAATGCACAGATGAATGGTGCAATCCAAAATGGGACATATTCTGACAAATTGTGATATAATTGTCCAACCCCAATACCCAAAATTTTACATAATGAGATAACTGGTTGACATATTAGTTCCAGACATACTTCGTATAAACTGGTGGATAGAAACGGTTCTGATAGCACTTCTTCATAGTAACGCGCACATTCGTCGTTCGCTGGACGAGAGGAGAAATAAGTACTAAGCATCTGTGGCCAAGTTTGTTGATGGATAGGTTTACAGTCATCAGGAGGACCATTATGCCGAGACAAGACAGACATTTTTCGAGCTAATCGTGCATTGTATTTTGTGTAAACTGATTGACAAAATATTAGGATACACAACCCACACGGAATTAGCGTGAAGAATATGTATCGAGAGCGGAAAATGATCAACAACCAGACAAAAGCAATGGCACAAGACAATGAAAATATCCAGAAGGACGGTATGTTAGTTAACCACTGAAACAAATATGAATTATTAGAAATCGCGACCGGGCGGACAATTTCTGAAAAAATATTGTTTATTAAATCAGGTGATATACGGTTTTCAGAGTCATTATTTAAATTACAGTACTTGTTTAATATATATATATCTTTCTCTTGCAATACAAATTCTAATTGAACTTTGATTGGAGTTTTTGATGGGATACTTGGTAAATTTCTTGGGTTGATATTCCGCCACAAAGTTCGGACAAGGATTTTGTGTTGCTCTTGATGATGGTTAGCAGCTAAAGAATTCGATGGACTAGGAGCCAAAAAAGAAGCAGTGCTCCGCAGCGCTGACACACTTTGTTCTTGGTTCATGGGAAGCTCTCCGAACATGTCATAAGGGTCTAAGTCAGCTTGTGATCTATGCAACACCAGAACAATGATAAGTCCAGTTAGCAATAACTAAAAATCAAAACAAACCGGTTATAACCAAAAACCATCTTACTACTGAGAACCAGTAATATAAAAAACTAATATATTTTTTGGAGTCAAATTGTACACTAACAATTTAAGATACTTCTATTCCAGATCTTCTTCGATTTCTCGTGCTGATGATGTACGACTAGCGATCATTGTCTTGTATTTCTGAAAATCCAAAAAAAAAATAAAGAATTATGAGTGTACCCCACTGAGGTTACTAGACATTGCACAAACATAAACAACGCTTTGTAGTAACAAAAATATATGAGGAAAAGTTGGCTTAACGAGCCTGATATCTGACAAACCATCCCACTACTAATATACATGAACAGATTACCTTACTATCCTATTATCAAAAGATAAACGACTAAGACCCAGGTATCACAATGACATGTAGATAGATGATCAATAATAGCAACATTATGTACGGAGACAATCTAATAGGAATGCCTAACCCTACTTTTGAATAAGTGTCAAAACCGTAACTCACTTTACAGATTTAGTAACTATGGGATCTCATGAGCGATAGTTATGATCGACTATCTTTTTATGTACACTAGTTGATCTACGAGTAAATTAACTGACTCATTATTGAAAATGAATTGAGCGAAATTCCGAAGGCAATTTACATATTTTGTTTTATCAAATACTTGTGTTTTGATGAAACTTAACAGTGAAATCGCATAGTTGCTGAGTTTCTAAAAAACATTTAGAAGGATAAATCACCATAGCAAGCTCGTGACAATACGACATAAGCGTAAAAACCTGACTGCTTTAATTAGACTGAGGTGGGATTAAACCATACATTTACAAAATGCTGTAAATTATTTCGAAGTCAAGAACCTGAGAGTTAAAGTAGCCGGATGGGAATACTTGTCAATTTGTTTAGACTCATTAACAATATTATACTAAAATATGAACGCAGCAACATCTTGCGTATTACTTGTTGTCTTGGAGTAATGACTTTTGTATGTTGGATAAAATCTAGTGTTGATAAAAAGCAAGTCAATAGTAGAGAATAACAGACATTTTTTAAAGTTAAACCGATCTTTTGAAAGTGCACCACTGAACGGTCTATTGCATAGAACATTGGTCAGATAATGGATCGTTACCCGGGTGTACCTATTTAAGTCAGCGAACTCCTCTGAGCTATTGGTATTAAGCAACTTTGTTAGGACAATAAACTTCCCGTATTCTACTCCTCCCATCCTAACACTGGAACTCAGTCAGTTAGTCAGCTACAACATAGGACCAGGTACATATATGCATCAGTCCAAGTTGTCATACCCCATTAGCACAAGATGAACATTAAATTCATAGTAGTTATTCCAATGGTAGTAATATATAAAAGAAAGAATGCATATAATGATATAGTACAGGAGAAAGAATTAGTTCGTAGAAAGATATAAAGCAATTTCAATTTCATAATATAAGGAAAGACAGTGTATACACCAACGCGATTGTGATAGATTCTGAGCCATGTCACCCAGTCTCCAATCATTGGTAACGATTGTGGCACAGACCCCAGCAATGTAGTCTGCATCTACCAAAATGGCTCAGACCAGAAGTTAGTGACTTCAAGGACTGATGCCACGTTCTGGTTTTCCACTTTTAACTTCCTTCTAACCATCTCTTACACTAGACAGTATCGCGCGTCGTGGTAGTCGGTGTCCAGGCATGCGCACTAAGTGGCCCAATCATCAGTCGGTGAAGATTTACAACATTAACTATCATTCCATAATAGCCTGCATCTAACCTCACTACTTACCTAGTGGTCCCAGCAGATGCGAGCAATATTTATAAGATATGTGTCATTAAAATACTAATAACTTACGAGTATCTTCTACCCTTAATGGCTGTTTCCCAGTAGTAAACTAGAACAGAACGAACTTCCGCGCAGTATACTTGTCTTTTATTGGTAGAGGGATACATCGTCTTTGCTTCATTTGGCATCAGACAAAATATTAAATGCACTGCAACTTATACAATGGCTTTTTATTAATAAATAAAAAGCCTCTCGATAGTCATGTAAAACCAACAGTAAAACGTTTGTGACACTGGCGGAAAACGTTGCCAAAAACACACAGCAAGCTACTCACAGATTGCACCGAAGGAAGGACCTCAATAAGTCTTAGAAACACAGTTGGGCTAAGTGACTGTTGGAGCACTTGTAGTAACTGATTGGGTTGACCACAAACAGCAACGGCAATAGCAAAATGGTTGACACCCTCATCTAAAGAGCCCATGCTCAGGGCAGTTTCTCCTTGTTGTATTTGTTGAAGAAAAAATCTCTGCATCCCAGTCTGATCATTTATAGGTGGCAATGGGAAAGTGGATGACTTTTGAGCTTCAAGAGCCTTTTGTTCCATTCTTTCTGTTCCAATATTATTCACTAAAATTAACCCACTTTTTCTGAGATTTTTCCAAAAATCAGGGTGACTCCGTCTTTTTCTGTCAAAATAAAAACAATACCCTGCAAAAATAATGCCAGCCCCCGCGGCAACACAGACAAAAACCCCACGGACCATATCACTTGTACTACGAGCCGTAACGCAAATACATGTTCAAGCGCTAATACTTTCAATAAACAATAATCAAAAGGTTTCGTTATGGGGTTGTGGAAATTGTTTAATTTCATAGAAACTACGAACCTACCAACGCTATAATACTATAAATTCAGGTAAAACAACGGCAACTCCGAATATCAACCTAAAGGTTCAAAGGTTAAGCGTCTGACCGCAGTTGTTGATTTCGAGTCCAGTGCCCAGGGTCGTTATAGGCACGACTGAGTCCTATACTGATAAAAAACAAATGTTCAGTACTTTGATGTTTTAAGTTCAATTCAGATTGCTTCATGGTATCCATCAAATAGTTTCGGATGAATTATATGGAGATTCGTATTATCGAGCCTCTGAATATGGTGGCATGAGAGCATCAGTGGCTTCAAATTTACCGAGGTATGTTCAACGTTTAACCTTCGCCTTCTGATTTACTTGGCACGTGTTTCTTAGTAGCTGTGTTCATAGTCAATCTCGACTCGACACCACGCTACAAACGTACTACATTTCGGACAACCTGGTCCTACATTTTCGTGTAAAGGCAGTTAAACGAAGACTAAAAGATCAAATAAATCGAAACATAAGGAAAAACAAAAATGATATTTAACCCTGTGAATCACACACATTTAGACTAAAAAGCAGTATTTTTCAGACGGTTTCAAGGTGACACAAAACTTATCTATAACGCACGTAGAGAGCTTAAATATTTTCATGCTCAAGGCTTAAATGAACTTTAGTTTTCATCGCCTAACACTTTTGTATAGCACGGTGAATTTGACTAGGGTCCTTCTTACTGCAGCGGTAAATAAATCCCCCAAATAAATAGCTCTGTGAGTTTTCGACATTGGATGCTGACCAGATTAGTTTTAGTGGACTCACCTAGCTGAAGGCGCCCGGTCATGCATCCGCACCAGATCACGTGTGGTAACGCTGTGCTCAACATCCACCGCAATCGCTGGCCAGATTAGATCAGATAATTCCGATATATTGGTTATCGCCAAATACACTCTTCCGATCTCCTCGACTTTGCCTTTTGATTTCTCTTGGTGGGTACGAGTTTTATTAGAAGGTGTTACTGGTAAAATCGTTGCCAAACACTGAATACCTGTGCCATCTTCATTACAAATGAATGTGTGTTTGAGATGGTGTGTGTTTACCCATTCATGTAAAATGGTAAATGTAATCATTTACTAATGGTGTGTTCAGGTGTATAAAAGTTCAGCTGATCGCTAGTTTAAACTCCTGTTTTCACACAAGTATATTCCAATGATCATTCGAAAGTGTGGAGATTTTGGCACGATCACAGATTTTGAGAGGAAGATTAATATCGACATATCATGGTCCTTCTTTCGATTTCGAAATTTTTAGGGAAAAGTGGATATTATTTGATGGTTCGAGTATATGCTTCGCTTCAATATTATCTCTCGTGCAACGAAGAACAATCCTATCAGACAACATTCTCATTGAAGCTAGCAGTAACTATAAAGACTGGAACTTCCCTGACGATGTAGATATTCTACAGACAGAACATATTAACAAAATTAACATTTAGTATACTAACTATAATACCTAGGTGGAGCTGATCGTTCTTTTCGTGTTAATATTAGTGTACCTCATAACTTCATAACGGAAAGTTGGTATCTTCACCTATGGTTCATATGACTACGGTTCGATCTACATACCACATATCAGTCAACGATGTCTGTAACAGAGGTTCGTCTACGTTGAACATCCTGGATAATGACTATTCCACACTATTTGCAGTTGAAATCCAGTCCGTTATTGTTCACCTACATTTGAAGTCGAACAATGTCCTCCAGATAATATTAGCCTATTAATGTATTACCAAAATTCTGTCTAACGATTTACATTATTAGAAAAGCAATATCTCAAAAAATACTTTGTATGAAAGGTTATATTTATACAATGAGTGAAGCAAAACTCCTAATAATGAACCACGTGGACCACACTGGAACATCTGTATCTACCTATAATGAAAAACCCAATATAGTCATCAATTTGAAGAAAAGCAAGTCAATCAGTCAACGATGAGTAGATATATATTCGCTCTAAAGTTGGATAAGACAAGCATGATTATTAAGGTCATGTTTCCAGAAACTGATGTATATGAAATCACTCGTCTATTCGTCAGCTTGATAGAAGTATTCATTATCCTGGAGTAACTGTCTCCCAAACGTGCTTATGTGTTTCAAATCGATAATGACATGTGCCATTATGGGTAAGAGATTCCTTAACTTTGAAGGTTACTGAAATAAGACTTATAGGTTAGCAGTTTGAGGGACCCTTACATTAACCCCCTATGAGCATAGATCTCCATACATGGTCTACGAAGGCGCGCTTCGTGATGTCCAAAAGTAGAAGTTCGGTGAAATTTCATCGAGGTCTAAAGAGATTCTAGCTAAACAGGTGTTCTTGATCGTCAAGAGGGATGAAGATGTGATGCAAATGAATGATACCAAACCAGATTTTATAGGTCGTGGTCTGACTGGCGACCTCATCACGTGATAATTAACCGGGTGAGTCACAGTACAAACTTTGTATTCTATGACGTGTAGTGATTTGTGTACAAAATGCGACAAAATTGCAATACATAATGTAAGCTAAATGGTAAATTCGAGAATAGAAATGGATTTCACAAAGTAGACAAAATTGTCGTTGAATAAATAAATACTGATAGAAATCAGATAAGTTTGCATAAATCTGAAATGAGTTAACTAAGTACTTCAGAAATTAGTATGTCTGGAACCCAACAAGTCACAACTAAGAACTAGATTTAGAAATACACAGTCTGAGATAGTTTTGCATTGTTTTAACAGATTTAAACACAACATAAAATACATAATTGTACAGTAAATCCAATAATCATCAGGAGTATTTGAATTATAGTATAAACTAGGTATCCTGGAAATAACGCAATCGGATCAAGAAGTACTAGATAAGCACAAATGAATGTACTGTACTTCGAATTCGAAATCAAGCATTCAAGAAGTACAAAGAAGTCATTAGTTCATTTGAACACCACATATTCACCATAGTTTGGAACTCCTGCATAAAATATATACCCCCGACTATACTACAGCCATTATTAATTGACAGATTGTATACATTACGTAGACAGTATGGCTTCTGACTCTTCAGTTATCTCTAACCTTCGTGTGTGGAACGGTACTTTGATTTATGCAGAAATGTACGTGTATATCGAAGATAAGAAATAATCAGCCCGATTTTGGATCTACGATTACATTCAATTCAGTAGTGACTGTAACACGGCTGCCACCAGCACTATCACCACACGAGAGACCGAATATAAATTCAAGTTTCGAAAAAATCAAAAGTCATTATTACAGAGCGTTAAGTGTACTATAAGGTGAGCAAGAAAGTAGTTCTTACTACTCGAAAGGATTGTCAGGTTATGTTACAGATTAGTTGGTTAGTTAAGCGGTATGAAAAACTGCATAACTTTTCTGTCAATGAGATAACACAGGAAGCTGAAAAGACTTCCTAGTAGTGGATAATAATTTGTATAGTCATTCATACAATAAGTCATAGAAAAATAGTGGAGTTTATAAATTTTCCATGTCTTTCCCCAAAAAGTAGTCATAAAGTCAATATAGCCCTTTAGTTTATACGTTAGTTCATGTTTCCACTACTAATTCTGAATGCTGTCAGAAAAATCTATTTGTCTCTCTGCTTATCATTTAGATAGAACTGTACAAAGTAAGAGTTCCTATTATTTAATTTCGGTAATATATCGATCTCGTAAAAATTAAAACGATAGGTTTAATATACAGCTAGAATTGAGCTACATGCAAAAGATGACCTCACTAACCTGCAATTGGTCCTGAAAAAAACAACTGGTCAAAAAGAGTACACCTAATTAAAATCGATATATTTAATAACATTCATGTGAAAGAGATCGTTTCGAAAGGTTACAAATTTCTAAAAGACAAACGAACGTTCTTCTTTCACATTTTTTATTCTTCTTAATCATCCTCTTCAACTAGTCCTAATGATCTTAAGAAAGTATGTTCTTCTGATAAATACTTTTCATATTCGAACTAGAATATTCACAAAAACGAATGAGTTATAAATATATGTACGATAAACTAATCAAATATAAAACATTTTAAAATCATATGCGATTATATCTGAAACTTGGTTATCTTATTGTCGTCACTGGCTGAACATAATATTGGCTGTTTGGTTTATACCGTACTATAGATCGGAGTGATTAGATTCTTAACAATCCTATAAGGTCAAGGTAAAATGAGGTTCTGATAAATTTTAACTGTAATTAATATAGTCTCTAATAATTAGACAAATAATAAGTTTATTTGCGTTTTTATATATTGTCTTGAGTTAAAGATAATTTTCCTATTGGATTGATTTGAGAAGCAGTTAACAAAGTAGGTGTTAAACACTGATTTCTTTCCAGTACGAGACTTCCAAACATTAAGAGCTCATGATCCCAATACAGATGGGACTCAAGACCTTTAGAACTTTCAACGATAACGCGATATTCAAATGACAATGTTAAAGTTGTCTACTTCTTGATACACCAGAAGGTCTTGATTTCGATCTTTGGTGGAGTCGTGCATGAACACTTCTGAAGAGTTTGATATTAGGAGAGAACGGACGTCCGATACTATCCAGTTTTTAAGAGTTATGTAGATGATGACAACTCTTTAAAATAAACATCTGTAATATTATTCTTCATTCTCTTTTTAAACGTTTTGGCTTTTGATCTTGTATTGGATGACATAAAAAACGTAAGACTTTTCCCTTCTCATTTTAGTCATCTAGCCGAACTAAAATTTAGATTAACTTAATACATAGTAAACATCAAAATAGCCATGATTTTCTTGTGTTTTCTTGAGATAAGTCTTACTGTGATACCATAGTTCTCCTTTAATTAAGAAACTTTACCTTATTTTATCAGGCTCCACAACTATGAGTAAATCTAATGACATTTTGAGATTCGACGAGGTGATTTTTGAAGTATTGTTTTTGAGCAATCCGTGTGTTCTGTGTACTTGGTCAAAGCCTTTCGCATTAGTGAATCTGCACAATCTGCACAATTACAGTTTTCAATTTCATCAGACCCGATCAATGTTCTGAAAACGTCCTTGGTCAAATACTTATGACCTCCCATTATTTCTGGCTTCCATAGGCTGTTTCATAGCCTTAAACAAATATGGAGTGAGCTATCAGATAGAAATTTTAGGTAGATAAGTAAATGTTTCATTAACTCAGTGAGACTATAATTTATAAACGACATTTGAGCTACGCTTAAGTGACCTTGGAAATGTCCACCTACTTACTAGGGCTAAATGAGGATTATAAAGCAGTTTGAAGGATAAGGATTATGATTTACAATTGATGGTGAGAGTTAGGAATTACAATTGTGATTTTCATCTCGAACTGACATAAGCAAAAATGCCGAAACGCTATTTAGACATATAGGTGAATGAATATAGCATTAAAATTCTAGACCTGTTATCCTGAATCTGATTGGTTCGTCCATAAATTATAGTCTCGCCACGAAACCTTCAGGATAAGCAAAGTAGTCTAGACACTTCTTATATTTAAATAAATATTTTTGCATTGAGAAAAGTGTTATAACTCTAAATGCCCTCAATATTTGTCTTAAATAATAAATTATTTTAATTAGAATTAAACACAATTACTACACAGTAGTTATGCTTTTAACTTACTTTTTCTTTTTGAATGATTTCTTCGTCGCTTAACATAACAGCTGATGCTAAACCAGCCCTTCTTTTGTTTTCCGCTTCTTGTTCAATTTTCTCTTGCTCTCTTAAATTCCAACGCATCGAAACAAATTCTTTTCTTTTCACTTCACGTTCAATGTATTCATTGAATTTTTTTAATTCTGATGGTAAAGGAGTTTGTAAACGTCTAGGTACCTATAATCAGTATAATGTTTATATCAATAAAAATATTTAACGAAAATAGTAATCGCTTTATTCAGTAATTCATGTTTAGTACAGCAGGAAATTCTCAGCGTTAAGTATTTTAGTAAGTTTTTTCCTATTATTTATTTACACTGCAGAATATATATGTGTAGTAGTCATATATCTGGAAGAAATAATAATATTGTGTCTATTTAATGCAGCAAAACTTCCACCTCTACGCAATCGCACCCTAGTAGCTAAATATGAACCAGAGCTTGAAGACTAGAAAAAACTGTGAACATGTGAATGTAATATGTTGAAATATATGAATCAAGAGCGTATTTATGTACGAGGGATTTATTATTATGTAAAGCACTACAAGCGGCCTGTTTGAATATCTGGGCTATCTGTGTTATATCCGAGCGAAGATTAAACCACGAGTAACTCCTGAGACATTAATTGACTAATATTACCTCTATATTCTTATGTTGTAATTATTCAGTAATTAGATTATGTATATCCATATTCCTCTTATTATAAGTTTCATTTTGATCTATATATTATTATTGTACGATTTACTGTTCTTAAATTATACTCAGTTTATTAATTACCGTCTCCCGCGTTCTCAGCCACTTTTTGGCTTATTTGTGTACACATGTTATTTTCAATTTTATGGTACGTTGTGGTCTGTCTGGTTGATATATAAACCGAGTATGTTTAAAATAAATGATTCGATCCGATTCCATTCGATTTATATTGCAGAAGCTGGTATTGTGTTCTGGACTAAAGCAGACGGGCTAGGAGGACATAGGACCAATAAGGACGCTAGACTGCTCATACCAGTTGAACGTCATTGGTTTGGCATAGTGTTAAGATTGTATAAATCATATTTTGATTGGTGGATAAATCACGTGATAAAAAGCCGGACATAAAACCATAACAATCTGTTCCTACCATCAGGATATTTCAACAAGTTATCTGTTTTCTTGTTTGTTTTAACAAATCATTATGCCTATTGGTCGCATCACCTATTCAGAAGCGTTTGTGACAAGTTTGCGACATTTCGCTGTACAAGTTACAAAAGAGCTCGATCAGAGACATCTTGGCAATATGAGTCGAAAACAATGTACATTATTCAAATGTTGATTGCTGAAGTGCTAACATCTAACTGGCGACTAGTCAATATTTATCTCAAGAATCAATCAAGAAATAAGAAAACGAAAATTGTTGGAATACTTTATGCTGAGATTTTATATTGTACCAAAAATATAATATTGAATAAAGCTACTAATAATAATGATAACAACAATAATAGCTAAAGTTTTAAGTTAGCTTATCTCCTATAACATTTGGTCACATTATATGTTTATTAAATAGCATATTGTAGAGTTTTTATCTCTCATTTCAAGTATGGAGTGAAGTAAAGGCAAAAGTATAGTTTAGAAAAGTTCATTGAACATAATTTTCATTTTCAAAATCGAACACTTTACTATGATTCAAAACTGGTGTAACATCCAAAATACTTCTGGAGTGTTTGTACGTAAATTGAAATGAATCTCTGTGGTCTATTAGTGAATGCTCAACTCTATGTAAATTTATTGACTTTATCCTTATAGTAAAAGATTTTATTACTATGTCTATGTTTAATATTACTATCACTAGACACATTCTTCCGTATTAGACTTATTTTAAGCTTATCCTCAAATATCTGGTATAGAATTCATAAAAAATAAACTACTTAATAACGTCTAACATAAAATAACATTCACAAATTTATTGAAAATGAAAAAAATTTAGGCACTGTAAATCTTATGACATACCTCACAAGTCATTTTAATAATAACATAAAAACACAGAATGAAAATATATTAATGGCCTATAAAGTATTTGACTATTAGTTCAAGTCATATAAATAGGTGGAAACATTATAATTTGTATTTTAGTCAATATATTTCAGTGTTTGAAAGACCATTAGACAATAAAATTTAAAATGAAGTGTACTCATTTAGATATTTTTCCAATCCCTAAAAATTTCACTGTTTATTATATTATTCTCTATTCTCTACCAATATCATGTTTACAATTCAGTTCAATTACTTATTTTTTTTAATACAACTTAATAATTTATTAACTCCTTGTAATTTTCTAATCTGCTGACTAGTGACTGACTTCAAGAGATACTCCTCGAGTTCTAGTGAGAAGCCGTTACCAGTGGAGTTCAACCAGGTCTGTCATGAGATATCAACTCACTGATGACAATGGTGTAGGGTGGCGCAACTTCGTGGATTGGTTGAAGTTAGAAATTAACACCGTTGGATGCAGCACCTGGCGCAAGACTGATAGGTCCTGGGTCCGAATCTCGCGGGGTGCGGGATCGTGGATGAGCATTGCTAAGGAGTCTCATACTTAAGACGAAACGGCCGTCCAGTGCTTCTAGGTCTCCCGTGGTGGTCTAGCTTCAATTGACTCATGACTTCAACCAGTGAGATTTCTAAGATCTCCACAAAACCCCTTCTGATAATATGTTTTGATCAAATGGTTAACTATCAAATTACTTAATAGTGTTGCTACTGAAATAACTTATTAGTAGTAATAAAAAGTAATCCATAAATTTATAATTTTTTCGCCATTTACTTTGAATACTTAGATGATATAGTCCTATTTAGTGAAGATGCTAATAAAATGCAGAGCCATGTTGATAGATGCAGACTACTTGGTTGGGGTCCGCGTGACTATCATAACCAATGGTCAGAGACTCTGGGTGACATGGCTCAGAATCGATCACAATGGTGTGGGTGTATACACTCTTCCTACGTTAGAGCTGACTGACTGACTGACGACTAAATCTTAATAAAAGGTTGAAAATAATATTGAATGACTTTTAATCTAATCGGGGATTTTTTTGTTGAAAAGAATAGAATTTCAAATCATCAAGATTTTATTATGTATTCTATATTTCAATAAAGTGGAAAAAAACATAGTTTACTAATTAAAATAAACTCACAATAAATAATTGTAGTACACCTTGAATATCACCAGTTGCTATAAATTGACGTTTAGGTGAATCCCATATAGATAAAGCAGTTAGTGGATTAGCAGATATTGACTGAATCATTGTTGGTTCATAAGTTTTATCAAGTAAATCCCAAACTTCTATACTACCATCAACACGACATGTATAAAATACTGATGGACGTGTTGGAGACCAACTGCCACCTTGAATAAGAATTATTTATGAACAATACAGAGTATCGCTTTAATGATATTGGTAAATTAGTACAATAAAAGTAAACACTTTTTACGTGTCTAACTGAAAAGAAGAAAAGATATGGATAGATTGCACATCATCCAATCCCATTGACAAAGGATAGAAGTATGAACCACTGAATTTTTATTCAGCTCAACCATATTGTTTCTGTGAGCTTGATGTACCAATTAATTCAATCAAATATTTATATGCTGATGATGTCGTTCAGAAGAATGATGATAGCTGCACGACCAAACCATCCAGCTCAGCGAACAAAACACCATAAAAAACGCTTTACAATAGTTGATACAATATTATTCAGATAGCATACAAAGCGATCCGTCCACCGCATATTCCATAAACCAAACATATCAACCGGGAATATTAAATTAATTAATTTTTCGTCTATTTCCTGTAAGTATTTGGAATTTTTACAATTAGTCACTTTAGATTTTATAACGTACTGAATTATTTTGACCAAGCGACAAAATTCTCACTTTGAACTGTTAGGTCAGTTCATTTTGGAATGACATTTAAAATGCTACCATTGTGATGAATTTTGCTAAACTAGATTATTACCAGTATAGACAGATCGAAATTCATTCATAATTTTCTTGTTGATTATCTACAGGACGAAGAAAATATCATTTATCACAAATAGTTTGGACTGACAATTATGTTCAGACTTTTATTGTTGATCAACACTATTTGACAAAATTAGTAAGTAGAATACGTTAAACGGATAAAACTTTAATAAATTTGGGCAATTTAGAATTAATGATTTTGTGCATATTTTCTGAATTACTCTCTGCAGATGATAACAATCTTAAACCAAAAAGCTTGATATTTAGCAAAGAGATCTCTTGAAAGTTGAATATCTTTATAACTGAAAATAGTTTATTTCATTCTCTACTTTGTATAAGCCCTACTGCTCTAGACTCTGAAAAAAGAATGAGAGTGATTACATTTGATATTATAGGATTGTATTTAAGAGACTGTGTAACATAGGATTTTAGTAACACAGGACGAAACTCAGTGATGTTTGTGGTTGCTATTGGTGACAGTAACAGTAAAAGATGAGGCAATTTCTTCTACATATCAACGAACAAAATGATGTTGTAATGATAACCTTAATTAAACACTAGATACACTAACCTGTTAATGGTTTATTTGCACGACCAGATTCTATAATCGGCCCACTGGTAACTCCTTCCTTCCACATTGTCCATATCCATCCACCAATAGCCAAGACTAGGGAGGAATCAAACGGTGAACGACAAAGGTAACTAATTGGACCATCATGTCGTGAGAGACAAAATTCTGGTTTGGGTGTTTGCATTTTCCCAGTGTCTTGATCTTTATGTGGTATCCAGTCAACATAAACTATAACACCATCTTCAGTCCCGGCATAAATATGTGTGTCGGCGTTTGGAAGTGGAAGTAATTTAGATGAGTTGTCAGTTATATTGATACTGGAATCTTTTGTGTTAGGCGTTAGTAATCTGCGATCTCCCTGCATTTCCTTCAAACAAGAAATTAACACACTAGGTCTTTAAAAATTTCGATCAAAATGTATATTATTCGTGAAATAAATGAAATCAATTCTAGAGCTAGAATGTTCTAATGGATAATGTAAACTGACATAAAACAATAAAGAAGGGGATGAAGAACATAAAGTATTTAAATATTAATAAACACATACATTTAAAAGATACGTAGAAGTGTATATATAAGTTTAATACTAAAAAATAGAAATGTTTATTATCAGCACAACGAGACGAAATTATTGGGATGAATATTTGAGTAGTAAACGTATTATCAGTATCAGAAATAGCAAAAAGAAGATTAAACTTCAAAGATACGGTTCAAAAAAGAATTTATTCTCATAATAAGATATAAAATATTTACCGATATCACGACCTAAGGAGGGACAAAGGTTGAATGCATCTGTGCTGTTGCGACCTGTTAAGAATCATATCAGCCAACGTTTCTAGCCATTGATCACCTTAATCAAGAGAACTACATCTTGGTATTAATTGGAGATATGTATAACTTAAGGAAAACTATACAATAATAATAAAGTAAGATAATAAAATGCAACCTACACGTATACAAAACTTAATTGGTACATGGTCATTAACTGGATCGTTTGTATATAAATGTATTCTTAATAATGGTTTCCATTTCAAATCCAGTGTCGAAAATGTTAGTGGTACATTATTTGGTGGTTTAATTAAATCACTTGTTTTGTTTATAGCTAATGGTGTTTTCTCTGGTCGTATATCCCATAGTAATATTTCACCATTTAAACCGCATGTCATTAATTGAACACATTTCTGTGCATGATTTTCAAAACAGTATCCTAACCGATTAATTTCTATATGATCCGGTATCCATTTCAAATCCATGATTGGTGAACTATGTGATGATTCAATATTACTTAAAGCAGAATAATGTGATGTTGATACTTTATTTAATTCATTCTCATCAAAAACAAATAAAGGCATTTGTTTATTTTGTTTCAATCGCAATTTAACATTAGTTAAATCGTCAATATGTTTTTCAATATCCCACAGAACTACTTGTCCATTGATACAACCACCAGCTATATAATTCGGACTAGTTGGATTAAATTGAAAACACATAATATCATCTGGTGCATGTAATAATAATTGAGGCTTCAATGGATCATTAAAACTCCATAATATAATATGTGTTGGTTGTAAAAGAATTCGTGATGCTTGATCAATACGTTGATCATAAATTATCCGTTCACTAATAGATGTTGCAATAATACCTTTAATATTTGGATGCCATTGAATCATTGTAATAGCTTTATTTTTACTAAATTTTAAGTCAGTAAATGATAGAAATTCTTTGAATGTATTGTCACTTCTTGTATCATAAGTTTCATCACCAATGGGTAAATTCTCATAATCATTTGATAAAAAATTGTACATTTCATTTTCTAATAAACTTTGTTCAAATAGTGTGTATAATTTCGATATATTACGTAAAGCATCATTATTTTCATGATAATAATGTTTTAATTCATCAGATGTAAACATTCTAGGAACATAATGAGTGAAAGCATTTTTTGGATATTTCCAATTTGTATTAATACCTTTATCACATGTGGTTGCACAATTTGTGGCTGATTTATCTAACTCCATTATAGGTATATTAAATGATTCATCTTCACGTGATAAAATTTGTTCAGAACAACCTTTCTTTGTCGCACTTTCATCTTGTAAATGTAATACACTACCAAATTCTTTACGTGGTCTTTGAAAAATTGTATACACTTTTGAACGTGTTTCAAACGTATTCATTTCGGCAATTTCGTTTTCTGAACCTAATTCAATCCAACCATGTTCTGATCTCGATTTGAATAGAAAACATAAATCACTGGCCTCTTTGTATTCTTCTATCTTATCCTCATCATCGTTTATTCCATCATTTTCATCACCATCACCATCATGTTCTGACTGACCGTCAAATACTTGTTTAACTGGATTCAGTATAAGAGATTTTGTCTCTTCAGATAAGACAACGACAAAATTTTCACCAAATTTATAATCTGCATCGTAAATTAATAAAATATCAGAACCGGGATAATTTTTTATTGCAACTTTTTGTACGCTGAAATCTGATACAGCTGCACGTAACTGTAAATCTTTAAGTATATCAGATTTGTTCAATAAAATGATTGGTGATTCTTTGGTAATTTGTTCATCAGTTACAATATTAAATATCTGTTGTGTTGATTTTGATAAAAATATCGGTGTGCAATTAGGCATTAGTTCATTTTGAATGAATATATCTAATGGTTTGTGGCTTTCTCTGATTGATGCCAATGATGACCCATCCACTGCATCAGAATGTTTGCTGCCACTTTTGTCCGCTGATTTTCCAAGTGACGATCCTGATTTACGTCCGCTTCGACTTTTAGAACGACCTCTAGCACTCTAATTGAGCAGGTTTTCAGTCATGTTACAATTATTAAATAAATAAATAGGTAACTAACCTTATTACGCAAAGTATTTTCAACTAGATTTACTTTTTCGTTTGAGTTTTTCATGATTTATAGTTTATTTCAAGTTCTAAGTTTTAAAAGAAATGAATACTCCAGATGTTTTGATAGGATGGGCATATCAAATAGAAATAACGTATAATTTGACACATAAAATCCAAATCGACAAGTAATAGAACAGTTTGTTTTGTATACGTACTAATTCTGTTTTATATAACAGCCATTTGCAACCACTAGGAGTTAAACAGCCCTATTTTATTTTGAGCAGTCTAGGAATTATTTTCGCCTACATAAAATTCCATCTCATAATCACCTTTATTCTTTTAGACAGTATATGTTACTGGGCGCTCTGATAAAACAAATAACTCTGGGGTTACAGAAAATCTTAACTACTACATGATAGAAGATACGTGATCTTCTTTGGGGAAAATTTTCCAAATTTTTGCAAGTATTCGTTCATTCTACTAGTATCAGTGTACAGCCAACACAAAACCCTACATGGACAAATACTGAGAGAGTATCGAGAACTCCTGTGACTTAAAGAGCACAGGTTGAAAGTAATCCAGTAAAAAATCTGAATGTTTACTCCAAAAGTAACAAAAACACCTCATAAATATGGTTCAACGCTGATTCTTCAACTTCCTTAGATATTAAAAGTCAAACAATTCATCAACCTCATATGATTTCTAAAATCAAACAAACAAAGCACATAATATTTCCTTCATTAATCATCTTCTCTAAGTAGACTATGGCATTGTCATTCCTTTAGTAGCACATACCAAAACGCCTTCTAACATCTGACAGTTTGTAAATGGATACTGACAACTCTGTGAAATTCGAACCTGTCTAACAATCCCATTAAGATCTAAAGAAAAGTCTCAATTTTTATTTTTCTATTTTTGTTGGCCTCATGAATTACTTGACTAGGCTTATCATAGCAGTCAATTGATTATACTGAAATTCTTATGATTGTCGTATAAGTGATTAGACAAAGAGTAGACAGTAAGTCAAATTACTCAAAAAAGTCAAATAACTACACTTAGTGCCGCCAAAACATATAAGTAACACAACCAATTTATATTTAAGCACTATTATCGTTTTGATATTCTCAGTGTTTACCAATTTTCTTATTTCTGATTTCATTAAACTGAATAAATAGTACTAATGCTCCGAGAATTATCACAACCTTTTTGCTACTCTTGACCCAAATATTGATTAGGCACTCATCTATTTGAGAAGTCATTTATATATGCATAAAATCATATCAAACTGGCTAATCATGAATAATAGAAGAACATGTTTTTCACATAAACACTACTACAGTGGAAATATGCAGCTTTTTGAGGGACCATTATATAAATAAATTCCTGAAGAGTGAAGGAGTACTAAGCAAAAATGCTGGTAAAAACTGTGGGCTACCGTGAAGCTCAATAACCATGGGCGACTGGCTTGTTAGGTGAGCTACTTAAACTTGCGTCAGTTTAACAAGTGTACATGCATAAATTCGTTTTATTTTGAAGGATAGGCTAAAAATGACAGATTTTATCATCGACTAAAAGCTATGGGATAATGTTCACTTATATATATATATATAGAGAGAGAGAGAGAGAGAGAGAGATTCCAGTAAATAGACCCAAGATCGTTCTCGATAGTTGGTAAAATACAATTGTAACGGGCATTTACCTCGCAAATGTTTTCTTCAAGGGCGGAAAAATGAAACCAAACAGTGAAATGTTTATTATTTAAACTCTTTTACACAGAGACGTTTTTCGTAAATTAGTTTATGAACTGAAAAACGTCCATATATCTGAACGTTTTTCATATGGCTAAAAATGACTTATGGGTAAATATCTGGACTAAACTGAGTCATGTAGAGTTTTATGTCTGGTCGTATACGTTTTTTTGTTTGAAAGTGTGGAGCTCACTGTGATTGTTGTAATTTAGAAAACTTTGTAGAAAATTTCCGAAAATGCCACAAAAAATCGAGATTTCCCCAGGCCTAAAGAGTATCTAAAAATGTGGGGCAATCTCTTAAATGTTGAGGTTTTCCCTCAGGTTTCCTTAAACTTTGGGAAAAAATATCATATTTCTTACAACTTTACAGAAAACACAAAAAATTCGCACAGATTGGGGTAACTCAATAAGTACAATAAGACGCACTTACGTCTGTTGAACAAAGCTACTAACATAAATAAAGCAAGAACGAAGTCCTAAATTGAAGTGGTTAAAGCAAGAAATTACATACGTTACATCCTTAAATTTGAAAAGCTATCGTATGTTCCCATAGTAAAAATCTTATTTCAGTTCGATTAAACAATACGTGTTATTAAACAAAAAAAGAGTATAGATAGACCCTAGAGGATATTAGACCTCACTTAGTGTGATAGACGTGATTTATGTTTCATATGTTGAGTGTGCCTCAAAAAATGTACAAATAAGTATTTTAAGCTGTAATATATTTTCAGGATGGCTTGTGGATAAGTTTGGTATATTTGAACGGCGCTCCTAGAAGCCTAACGATCCTAGAGGTAGCATTGATGATGCATCTTATATTCGGTTTTATACAACTATTATGAATATTTTACTTTAAATATTCGTAAGGCCAGTGAAATCAAACCGGGCCCCAGTCAAATCATCCAGCGCTGTTTCAAAACATTGAGAACTGGCTCATATTACATATTGAAGGAAGTCGATACAGTGAAAATTCAACTAATCGGCCAGTAGCATTTCTCTCCACACCCTTAGAGTTCCACAGTTCCAGATGTACGATAGTCAAAAGGGTACTTATTATCCATAACATAATTTCACCTCGACAGCGAGGTTTCAGGGAGGAACACACTTACATAGCACTAAACGCAATACACGGAAATTAAAGATACTACATGTTAGATAGGATTGTTGACACTCTTTCTACCCTTTGAGAGTAACTGAATTGCGGAATTCACTGACAGAGAAACACGTGCCAAGTTAATCAGAAGGCGAAGGTTGGACGTAACCAAATAAATCCATAAAATCCCCGAGAAGCCAAATACCAGAAGACAATTAATGGACCAAATCGAGATGTATATTTACTGGCGATCTCGTGGCATCGAAAGGATACCGAGATCGTGCCAGGATACAAGCTTGGTTACAGAAGGTAACCGAATTCGCGCGAAGTTACAATCAAAGTGTGAGTAAAAGAATGGAAGCACAAAATAGCTGTCATTAGCACTGTCAAACAAAAGCACGTTAAAACAAACACTGGTACAGTTGGTTATAATAATAATTGTTTTTATTAAAGCAGTCGTGTTCTCGTGATAAATGTGAGTCACTACACATTATTAAGAACTCAGGACAATACATCACTGTAATCTGCCAATATTTTTCCTTCTACTGTTAAATATACAGATGTTCTCACCTGTATGCATCTTTAATACACCGATTCTCGAAGCCCGTTAAGTGAAAGTTCTGTAAGCCATAAACAATGTTTCTTTCCTCATTGATTTTACCGGACCCACCCTAGCTGACGGTGCTCAGTCATGCATGTGTACCTGATCATGAGTGGGTACTCTGGTTACGCATCTCTTACATACTTTGGCTTGTCTAGATCAAAAGTCCAGCTACTTATCGATAGTCTTTCAGACATAACTACGAACATCTTCACTTTTGACTTAGGATTTGTCTAGGTTGACAAACTTCGATTATAAAGTTTTTAGTGGTAAAGGCGTCGTCAAACTCCGAATGGACCATATTTGACCTATTACATCTAAAAAACAGAGCAATAAAACGAATTTCGAAAAATATTTGGAATCGATGCAACCTACATGCTTCTCATTTATAAATACTGGGAATTCGTCAATACAAACGTTGTAGATGGTGAATAGAGGAATTTGTTTACTACACAATATATTCAGTTTTATCAGCAAATATAAATCGAAGGTGGTTCATCATTTCAAAAAGATAGAAGACAGATCATGTAAGACATGTATTGTTTAAATGAATAATCTCTCAAGGATTTATTTTTGCCCTAAATAGAGCGTGATATGAGTTTAGAGTTGTCACAGGATGGATGATCATATCATTAGGCTTATGCCAAAGAAAGAATATGTTTCTGCTTATTCTGAATACATGAGAGAAAACTCTGGAGCTAACTTGTCTTCATCCGCCATTGCTGGTATCGTTATAGGAGGTAAGTGATGTTTAAAAGTATGCATATCCAGCTGTGTTCTCATATAAGAAGACATTGGGCATTCCAAATACTCAGATATAGCAATTTAGGTTCGCGTTATTTAGTCGATTCATGTTTTTGTTTTGAAAGTTTTGTTTCCATGTATCTTTGCAAAGAAATGGCGAGACCATAATTTAATGACGAACCAACTACATATAAGATCACTAGTTTCGGATTTTGGCAAAAAACGTACTCACACATTTTGCTTAAAGGGGTTTTGGGATTATACCTTATGTCAGCTCGTGACTAAAACTCTTAATATGGCTCCCAACTTTAACCACTAGCTCTTAATCATAATTATAATTCTTCACACTGGTTTCGGGCATTGATTTTATGTGGACACTCTCAAGGTCATTCTGGTATCATTCAAAAGTTGTCAATCGATTATAGTCTTACCAAAAATGTGTTGTACCACAAATCTTTTTTTCCTTTTTAATTTCTATTGGACCTTGTGACTATTTATTTTCATTACTTCACATTTGTGTCTTATTTCGTGGACGAAGTAGCAGAAAATAATGTGTAATCAGTAGTCTTATGAATTATTTTGACACGGTAGTGTTATTCTGTAGATTATATTATTTTATTTCAGTCATCTCAACAATTAAGACAAATAATTACTTAAATATAACAAATTTCATAAGTGATACACGGTGGGTGCTATTTTGCTCATGAAGTTGCAATAAATACTGTGATTCTGAAACGCTCTCAGTAGAGTATCCAGGAATATATTTATTTTTAGATGTAATTCTATTCTTCATTTTGCTTGCAAAGCGAGGTTGACCTACTTGAGAATAAACTCATCTAAATGTGATGACTTTTTGATAAGTTATTTTTAATTTCCACCCAGAACATACTACTAGGTTATGAGTGAAAAATGAACGTTGCTTTAAATTCTATTTACCATTCCTAAAATTCTCTCTATTCAGCAATAATTTTTCAATTGTGTGGAAAGCATTTACATTTTAACTCGAGTTTTATAAGTCTTTCTGTAGACTATATAATGCAGACATTCAGCAATTAGGAAGTAAACCAATTAATCTGAGTTTATGAAATGTTTTGCATAGTATTTTACAAGATGCTTTATATGAATTTCTTCCATCATTATTTGGTTGTCTGAAATTCTTGTTGGCAACACTAATTGACAACCAAATTTGTATAAGTTCATGACATTATCCTTCTGAACGTCACGGTACATAAATATTTGGAATGGAATATCGACATAAAGCTCGTATAGTGTTCATATCATATCATCTCCCTACCTATATGTGGATTTGATTCTAGCATAGCTCGCTTTGACATTATATCCTATTGTTTTTTATCTATCCTTTTGTTAGAAAAATAAAATTAATAAAAAGCTGTGGTGATAGATATTTCGTCAATAATCACATTTATCTAAAGGCCTTAAAGCTACACCACAATGTTCTAAATTGGTTTTCATTTATCATCAAATCTGATTATTGAAGTTATTATTTTTTGTAGACAGTCTATAGTTGACCAACTCTAGGCTTTATAACTCAACCTCCAACACTTAAGCCAAGTAGCATTGGACATCCTTCATTGAAAAATTCTAATTTACGATCGATTACGTTTAGAGGATTGTGTGGCATGTTTGCTTTCTGATAAAATTCATAGTTTGTAGTTTGCTTTTCAGTTACTGCATTTGTTCCTACTACTTCAACGAAATTATATATCAGATTTTGAGGGTCATAACGTCGTATTCATCTGATCTGAAATGTGTGTGATTCTGTTTATTTGATAAATCCAGTAAAAATCATTCCATAGTAAGAATAAACTTAGTGTTTTTAACACAAAATACCTTAGCTAGTAAGTGCATCTTTCGATTTTTGTATCATGGAACAAACTGCATTTCTGCGTAAATATAACCTGTAATAACAAGCAGTAGAAAAAAGTAAATGATGGATATTGAAAGTCGTAAGGCCTTCAAAGTTTTAAGAGTTAACACAAACCTCAGTAGCAAGCAAATAGGCCAGCAAAGGACATGACGTCTAAATATTAGACGTGGCCGGATTTTGAAAAGTCAACAGTAGACAAACTAGTTGAAAACCTTTGGTTCGCACACATTTTTATATTTTTATTTAGCAAAGTGAACATCAAAGTTTTATGATTTTAAAGATAAGTTTGTATTTCATCATACTAAAGTCCTTCTTCGGATTGATTGATTATTCTAGTTTACTATTTAAACCTGAAATTTTAGTAGCCCTAATATAGTGTACATTAAGTCTTCAAATGTTTTGGCTGTGGTAGGGAACTCCACCTTGTGGCTTCAAATACGATTTTCGCACATTTGAGCAGTTTTATAGCTCTGAAAAATGAAGTGAGTTTACTGCATATTTTCAAATTATCACAAACAAATTTCAAAGTTTTCTTAATCTTCTGGAGTAAACATATGTGTGGCGTTGTTTAAATCTAGTATTCAAGCTAACAATGCAAACATTACACTAAATCTGACGTTATCATTTAACAAAATATATCAAAAAAAGCAATTTCACAATATAAAAGTACAGATGTTTTCTAATTAAAAAAGTGGTTGAAATGAGCATAGAGCCTACGCACACGTTGAGTAATTCAGGTAGGTTCATATATCCGAAGTTCCTTAGTATCATGGTCATTTACTGGTATTCTCCTGTAAGATCACCATAGAGTCTGATTTATTCATGTCTTATCACCCACAATTGCCACTCGTTTGGTCAGTTTTGAATTTCGGTGTAATATAATAAATAATCGAACTGAGTTATATATAACAATAGTTGTCTTGTATTGATAGTAAAACTTTCATGAATAGAGTGAAATGAGTTTAAATCGTTGTTGAATAACTCCGATATATACCAATCACACATTTTTGACTAGCTGTGAGAATCGTCGTTCCCGTGTATTCTTTGGGGAAATTTATGCATAAAATAATAAATCCATCATTTGATTTAAATTTCATTAATTTCTAATAGTTACCATAAAATGGAGTATTTTCTTCAATTTAAGTGTGTTAAATCTCTGGTACCAATTATAATAGCCACTAGTTATTGAACGTTTTCGTTAAACAGGTGGGCTAAGTAATATTTACAA